TATTCTCAATTCAATTTCCAGATCATTGATCATATTTGTTAAATTCATAGCACATTTTATTCACAATTCAACCCCTTATTTACCTATTAGGCATTACTACAAAAATTAGGGCTTTGTCTCTCTAATCAATGAATTTATTAAATCACACCCCAAATTTAACCAAACATCACCCATCTCATGAAATTTCAATCTCTACACCCATATCTTATACCCTTTATCATGATTTTCGAAAATAATCCATAACAACATGGTTTTATGCAATACAAACTTACCACATGTCTATCTATAGGGGAAACATTGAAGAAAATAAAGGAAATCCCTACCTCAAGGTCTTTGAGAAGATGGAGAAGAGAACCCCTAGTTTAGATGGATGATCCTTCAACCCTCACTACACCAAGAGGAGCCCTAGTTCTTGATCTTCAAGATTTAGAGGAAAATGATGATGATCTTGGCCCAAAGATTGCAAGAATCAAAGAGTTTTAATGCTTGAGGAAGTTTTCTAGAGAGAAGGGAGAGAAAAATAGGGTTTAGAGTGAGAGAGAAATGTGTAAAATGAGTGATACATTCGGACCAAAAAGATATAAAAAATAGAGTTTTGGCTGCCCAGTTGGCCACACGTGCAGCTTCCTTCCCCGCACGTGCGGAGCGCCCTCACCGCTCGTACGGCCTTCCCCGCCGCTTGTGCGGCCTTTCTCCGCACGTGCGGCCTAGGGCCCCGCACGTGCAGCCCTGGCCCAGCAGCCCAGAAAATTCTGGCTCAACTCCCGGCACTCCAGACACAACCGCGTATCCTCCGAAACAAGTAAAAACTTGTAAGAAAAATAACACCACCGAAAAAGTTTAGAGAAGAGATTTTCAACGACGACTTACCCAACATAACACAAAGGAAAGGAGATGACTTTTGAACCGGTCATCACATTCTATTTGCCTAGCACGTCTTATGTTGGATGCCGTTGGTCTCTTATGTGAGACACCACTAACCATTTCTGTATAAAAAGAAAATATTAAACCCAATATTAGCAAAAACTCGAATATATTAAATGACTGATGTAAACAATATTAGCAAATAAACCATAATTTCATAGATAACATTCAATTTAAAAAAGAAAATTTTCATTTGCAAATGTATAGAAAAGGGAAAAATTGTAATTATAGAAGAGCAACATACATGATTTATTAATACATGATGTTTTAGAAAAAAATTATTAAAATTATAAGTAAAGGGGAACTTGGCACTATTTGAACCTTTTTTTGTTATAATTAAATTAATTTTAATTCAGAAAGAAGAATACCTCCTGCCATGATGTTCAAGCCTTTGAATCTTTATCCTTGAATGATCAAATCTTGAATGTATAAAGAAGTCCACTCGCAGAACACTTTTATAGAACCATATGAGAAAAGTGAAAGGGACAAAGTTTCAAGCCTATTCTATGCACCAAACAATGTCTATGTTTGATGGCTATCACAAGCATATTTATAGATAGGCTTGGACCCATATCCAAGTGTAGCTCTTTATAACTTCCCACCATCAGGGAAGTTATAAAGTCCCATGAAACCACCATATGGGATATTAAACAGACATCAGTTACCCATTAACCATTAAACTAATTAATTAGCCATTAAACCAATTAATTAGTCATTAAACCAATTAAATATATATAATATAAATAAATAAATAAATAAATAAAACATGTGGTATATGGGCCACTTTATGGATATTCTTACATTCTCCCACTTGGCACATATAACACACGTTGTTGACTGTCGGGTAACTACCAAACTGATGATGGTCATTAAATAAAAATACCCAAACCTTAGAGGTATAATACACGAATCATGGCGGTTATACTCTATCAATTAAGTATTTCCTTCCATGTATTACATTGTATCACACTCTCAACTTAATGTGGTGTCATTCTTTATGAATAACTTCTAATAAGTTATTCTGGGTCCAATGATCCCTATGGATCAATAGTCCAAATGGACTGCATAGCATCACAAATACTTTAGGTGCACAAAATGATGCTTTTCACTAATAATAATTAAAATGTCATGAAAAAACAAAATAAAACAACAACTAGAAAAATTATTGAGCTAACCAATCAGTCCCATGCCCTCAACGTGTTTTCAAAAACACCTTTACAGAAAGACCTTTGGTCATGGGATCTGCAATCATCATATCGGTACTAATATGCTCAATGCTGACTTCTTGCTTCTTAACACGGTCTCGAATAGCAAGATACTTTATGTGAATATGCTTGCTGCGGCTACCACTTTTGTTGTTGTTAGAGAAGAAAACCGCAGCTAAATTATCACAGTAAACCTTTAATGGCCTAGAAATTGAATCCACAATTCGAAGCCCTGTGATAAAATTCCTTAACCAGATAGCCTGTGAGGTTGCTTTAAAGCAGGCTATAAACTCTGTTTCCATTGTTGACGATGCAATTATCGTCTCTTTGGCGCTCTTCCATGAAACAGCAGCACCTGCTAGCAGATAGACATATCCTAAAGTGGATTTTCTGGAATCTTGACAACCCGCAAAATTCGAGTCTAAATATCCAACCACCTCAAGACAGTCAACATGCTTGTAAGTAAGCATGTAGTCCTTGGTTCCCTTTAAGTACCTCATGATTTTCTTTGCAGCCTTTCAATGTTCCATTCTTGGATTACTTTGGTATCTTCCAAGCATCCCAACTGCAAATGCAATGTCAGGTCGTGTACAAACCAAAGCATACATTAAACTGCCTACGGCAGACGCATAGGGAATGCTAACCATTTGTTCCTTTTCCAAATCATTCTTCGAACATTGACTTAAACTGAATTTGTCACCCTTTAAAAGGGGTGCTGCATTAGGAGTGCAATCACTCATCTTGAATTTCTCCAAAACTCTTTCAATGTAGGCTTTATGAGATAGTCCTAATGTCCTTTTGGACCTATCTCTATGAATCTCTATGCCAATGACATAAGAAGCTTCACCCATATCCTTTATTTCAAAATTTTGAGAAAGAAATTGTTTAGTATCATGTAACAATCCCAAATCATTAGATGCAAGTAAAATGTCATCCACATATAGAACTAGAAAAATGTATTTGCTCCCACTAACCTTAAGGTATATACAGTTGTCCACAACATTCTTCGTAAAACCATATGAAGTAATAACATTGTGGAACTTTAAATACCACTGTCGGGAAGCTTGTTTTAGTCCATATATGAATTTCTTGAGCTTGCAAACTAAGTGACTATCTTTATCAGAACAAAAACCTTCAGGTTGCTTCATGTATACTTCTTCCTCAAGATCCCCATTCAGAAATGCTGTTTTCACATCCATTTGATGTAGCTCTAAATCAAAATGAGCCACTAATGCCATGATAATTCTAAATGAATCCTTTTTTGAAACCGGAAAAAAGGTATTATGATAATCGATGCCTTCTCTTCGAGTGAAACCTTTAGCTACGAGTCTGGCTTTATATCGTTCGACATTGCCATTGGAGTCTTTCTTGGTCTTATAGACCTATTTATAGCCAACTGCTTTAACTCCTTTAGGCAACTCGACAATTTTCCAAACTTGATTCTTAGCCATAGATTCCAACTCTTCCTTCATGGCATCATACCATAATTTAGAATCATCCCTATTCATGGCATTGGAAAATGAAATAGGATTATCTTTAGGTCCGATGTCAAAATCAGACTCCATTGAGTATACAAAATAATCACCAGAAATTGCTGACTTTCTAGCTCGTGAGGATCTCCTTAATTCGGTAGTCTCAATTGGGACTTGAGCTACAGGCTCTATGTTGACTTTTTCCTCTTGTGGTGAAAGTTCTTGAATTTGTTGATTTTCAAGACTATCGAGTTGATTATCTTGAAAGACAACCAATTCACCTATATTCATGGGTGTTGTATTCGAACCCCGTGATTCCTTCCACTTTATCTTTCGAGAGTAACTCCCACTAGGGTCAACTTCCTCAATAAACTTAGCATTTCTGGCTTCAACAATTCTAAGTGAATTTGAAGGACAATAAAATCTGTAACCCTTGGAGTTTTCCGCATAGCCCATGAAAAAACCACTAACTGTTCTGGGGTCCAATTTCTTTAAATGTGGGCTATACACCCTCACTTCAACTGGACAACCCCAAACGTGTAAGTGTCTTAAACTTGGCTTCCATCCTTTCCATAACTCAAACGGTGTTTTGGGAACAACCTTGGATGGAACCCTGTTTAAGATATACACAGCGGTTTTCAAAGCTTCACTCCATAAATTTATAGACACATTAGAATAACTAAGCATGCTCCTTACCATGTCCATAGGTGTTCGGTTCCTTCTTTCAGCAACACCATTTTGTTGTGGTGTGCCAGGCATTGAATATTGTGCAATAATGCCTTCTTCCTTAAGGAACTTAGCAAAGGGACTTGGTAACTGTCCCAATTCTGTGTACCTCCCATAATATTCTCCACCCCCGTCTGACCTCACAATTTTAATTTTCTTTTCTGTTTGTGTCTCTACTTCTGCTTTATAAACTTTAAAGGCATCAAGTGCCTCAGCCTTATCAAACAAGAGGTAGAGATACATGTATCGTGTGAAGTCATCAATAAATGAGATAAAATATCTTTGACCATTCAGACAAGGAGAAGTAAATGGTCCACAAATATCAGTATGTATGATTCCAAGAATTTCCTCATTCCTTTTGGCACCTTTACTGGTCTTGTTGGTCTGCTTTCCCTTTATGCAGTCCACCAAAATACCAAAGTTGGTAAAATCAAGAGTCGGAAGGACTTCATCATTAACCAACCTTTTATTCTCTCAATGGAGACATGTCCCAATCTTCTATGCCAAAGAATAGAGGAGGACTCATCAACAATATTACGCTTAATGCCAATATCACCATGCAAGGTTAAAAGATTTTGTTCAAAAATAGGATCTAGATTTAATTTGTACAAACCGTTAATTAAAGTACCAAATCCTACAGAAACAGAGTCTTTAAACAAACTAAAATTTGGACCAATAAACTGAAATTCAAATCCAAACGGTACTAGTTTAGAAACAGAAATTAAATTTTTAGAAAAAGATGGAATGTAAAAAGTGTTTTCAAGATCCAAAACAAAGCCATTTTTTTAAAACAAGTCGGAAAGTTCCAACAGCTTCGACGTGCAAACGCATCCCATTGCCTGAATAGATGCCTTGTTCACTTCCCGTCGGTTTCCTTAGGCTGAGGAAGCCCTGCATGGTATTAACAATGTGAATTGTAGAACCCGAATCAATCCACCAATCATATTGATGAGTATTAACAAAATTAGATTCATAACACACAAAAGATATGAGATTACCTTTCTTCTCAAGCCATTTCTCATACTTGGGGCAGTTTTTCTTCATGTGACCCTTTTTCTTGCAGAGGAAGCATACACCCTTATTGCCATGATTTTTAAACGGCACTTTACCAAGCTTCTTCCATTTCTGATCACCTTTGCCCTTTTTCCATTGCCCTCCTTTATGTGTTGCTAAATGAGCACTTTCCACTTTTCCATGCTTTAATCTCTCATCTTCTTGAACACACATGGTCAAAAGTTCATTGATAGACCATTTTTCCTTCTGTGTGTTGTAAGAAATTTGGAATGCTCCATATTCCACAGGAAGAGAATTGAGTATGAAATTGATAAGGAATGACTCAGAAATCTCAATCTCTAAGGACTTAAGACGAGCAACAATGTCTCTCATTTCCATAATGTGCTCACACACACTCCTAGAATTGTTATGCTTCATTCATGATAGTTTGTTCATTAGGGTGCTTGCCAATGCTTTGTCAGAACTAACAAATTGCTCTTCAATAGCCCTCATGTAGTTCTTGACCTTATCAGATGGTGGGATTGAGCCCCCTAATACTCTGGCTAATATGTGACATTATGAGCATTAGGCTTAAGCGATTGGATCGCTCCCACTTATCATAAGAAATGAAATAGGATCATCTTTAGGTCCGATGTCAAAATCAAACTCCATTGAGTATACAAAATAATCACCAGAAATTGCTGACTTTCTAGCTCGTGAGGATCTCCTTAATTCTGTAGTCTCAATTGGGACTTGAGCTACAGACTCTATGTTGACTTGTTCCTCTTGTGGTGGAAGTTCTTGAATTTGTTGATTTTCAAGACTATCGGGTTGATTATCTTGAAAGACAACCAATTCACCTATATTCATGGGTGTTGTATC